TTCCTAAAGCCTGCGTCGCAATAAGAGAACTTCGTGACCCTTTAATATGGTGGTATTGCCATTGTACTCTCTTGAATTTGTCGTGTCGTCCTCTCGGTTGTGTTCAGTTCTGGTAATTAAAATGTAGCAAGATGTCACACTCATGGAGCTGAGCCCTTCTTGAGAAGCTGCTAATTGTGTAGCTACTCAAGATCTTCTCAACATTTTATGGAACACGAAGGTTCATTACCGTGTTCACAAGAGCCCTCCACTGGTCCCTATCCTAAGTCAGAACAACCTAATCCAAACCATCCCATCCTATCTCTGTAAGACACATTTTAATATTGTCCACCCACCAACGTCTTGGTCTTCTTTCTTGCTTTCCCACCAATATCCTATACACATTCCTCTCCCCCCACTCGTGCTACATTTTGTGCCCATCTCACCCTTGTCTTGATCATTCCAATTATATTTACATATTAATTTAAATATCAAAATAATTTTCTTCCTTTTATTTCCCAGAAAGGACATCCAAAATGAATGTTGTATATGTGAAGGTAAAAAGAAATGTTCCTGTGCTTAATTAAGCACCTCGTCATGAAGGCGTATGCAGAAATGGAAGTACCGTTCCACCCATTTATATTTCCAAAACTCTATGGAAATGAGTGGTAAAGTTGAAACAACAGTTTCTTTATTTACTTTATTCCCCGGCGAAAAAAGGTTCCTACTCCTATTGAGTAGGAGACTCGCTGGGCCCCAAAGCCAGTCTGGACACGTTGGAGTATATTGCCCATGCCGGCAATTAAACTCCGATTTTCAGTATGTCTGGCTATTATACTGAGATATCCCGGCTACATCTGCAAATGGACTATTTATAATTAACGGGAATTTTTCACGTTTGGGAACGGTCTGTTTCAACTGAAAGACGTGGCAACATATTTCACACATACGAGTATATATACGAGGGCTATTCGAACGTGAATTCCGTTTATTTTAGGCAATTAATGTAGGAGTGAGGGAGAGCTTGCACATGCGAGGTAGCGTCACATGGTTCAGTGTCTTGTAAACCATAATATAACTGGACAGCTAGTGTTTGTTCTTGTCTTTACAGAGTCAGTTTTGATGTGCCCTGCGATTGTTAATCCGCCAGTTGTGAAATTTGTGCTATGACTTGTTTTCTTCACGCTAAAAATGTGAGTGCTGCGGAAAACCATCCTGAATTATGCGCGATTTACAAAATATAAGTGAAGGAACTACGAAACAAGGGTGTGGAATATTCAAAGATGGACGAAAAATGCTCACGATGAGTAGCGGAGTGGTCGGCCGGCCATCTGTAGTGAGTGATGATCTTCAGAATGTTAGCTAAAAAAAATATTAAAGGCTGCTTTCTTACAGTTTCAGAACTTTCGTGTGAATTTCCACAAGTTTCACGAGATTACCACAGTTATTCTAAGCTATGAGAAGATTTGTGCAAAATGATTTCCGAAAATGCTCACGGGTACGCACAAAACATAGAAAATGGCTTCAGTTTTTGTAGAATTTTTAGAGTTATACCATAAAGATGACAATGAATTTATCAATCACATCGTACGAGTAACAGGTGATAAAGCTAGGGTTTCAGTTGTGAATATTTAAACCAAGGAGCAGATAAAGCAGATAAAACAAACTGAAAAAAGTTTAAGTAAATGTTCTCTGCCTGCCAGAAAGCTGATGGCCACTCTTTTCAGCAAATGGAAAGGGATGCTGATGGTGGAATCCATCCAACATGGGACCACAGTAACATCATAAATGTATTCCGAAACAGTAAAAAAGTGCGTAGGGCCATTCAAAATAGGAGTGGAATGCTGACATACGGTGTAATGCTCCTCCATCACAATGCGTGTCCGCATACAGCTACTGGCATTTGAGCAGTTCTGGAACTTTTCAACTGGGAGTTGTTTGACTACACTCCTTACAGCCCTGATCTCTCTCCGAGCGTATCTACCTGAAGAACTGGTTGGGATCACAGCGCTTCAACAATAATGAGGAATTGCTGGAAGGTGTCAGAATGTGACTGAGCTCACAGGCGGCAAACATCTTTAACCTAGGCCTACAAAATCTTATTCCGCGATGCGATAAGTCCTCAATTCCGGCGGTAGCTTCAGTATGTATGTATTTTTATAAAGTAAATTTCTTCTCGTTGTTTATTTTATTAACAACTCATCGGAGATTACGAGTACTTTCGGAATATAACTCTTATATTCCTGACAGTATAAAATAATGGTATAGTTGAGACATACATGCGAAGTAATTAAATTGATTGTATTAAACTTCAGATTAAAAACAATATAAACAGTAAAATGTGTCAATATTATTCAATTTTGTAATTTAAATGAATAAATAATTTGAATATGCTGACCCCTATGTTCTTTCAGTTCCAGATATACTAGAATTTGTCTGAAGTCTATCACGGTTTTCATCAAATTAATACGTAGCCTCATGTATCAGGGACTTACATGCCTACTCGTCCTGGATTCCGTCAGTTATATTGTTTTTTGTATTCAACTCTGTCTTCACGGATAGGAGTTTGATTAACCATAATTCTGTCGGCCAAACGAGGGAAAGCTTGACAGACTAACATGCATGCATTCATGCAGCGAATCGGCTTAGTTGAAGACAATGGACCCATCGCTGAGATTTTCGAATGAACTGTTACTGTCTGTGAACAGTTAGTGTTACTTTCATTTGCAGGAACACGAAATCTTACTTTGTGTGTACTTTTGAATAGCAGTAGAGAAAACCACGTAGTTGCTATTACCATTGTAAAAATTTATTTAAAAATTCGATGTAATAATAAATAATGATCAAAGAAGTATAAAGGGTTGTTATAACATTTCCAGTTCATTTACACTTTTGACAAAATCCACTTTACCAACAACTTAACGGTGTTTGTGCTGAGTTTAACGCAGAATACTTGAAAGACCCTTGGTAGGGCAGAGAGACTGCTTAGAACTTGATGTAATAACTTCATAACACTTTAATATCCCCGAGACCATAGAGATTTTTCTTATAAAAGAAGGCTTTGTTTCTCTTCAGCTACTTCAATGTAGTGCATAAAGTCTGTTCGAGGGAACAGACAGGCTTCATCTCCCTTTTATTTTTCAACAGATGTGAAATTCTTAAACAGATTTTCATGAGTAGTGTACTCGTAGCGGTGGTTATGAAGAGTACTATCTTCTGGGGGATAACGCCATCTAATCCGTTTAAAGTCAACCTACCTTTCGGACGAACATATCGCCTCCATCATCAGGACCTAAGAATGAGCCGAGCAAGATACCAGCGTGAAAGCAGGTAGCAAGCAGAACACGTTCCTGTGAAACGTCGGTTGACTTTAACCAGACAGCATGGCGTTATATCGCGGAAGATAATATTCTTCAAATTTTCATATTATGTTACAAATTCTCTGCTCAATAAAAAGCAAACTCAAGTTTAAAACGCTTCCATTGTTTAATAATTCTAACCTATGAACCTTTAAGACATTCAGCCTCTGTGAGAATCGAATTGGGCTGTGTAAATATTATAGTTTGTGTCACTGAAACAATATTATCTACGTCCATGTTTCTCCTATTAAAATGTGAACCATGCCATATTTGGAGCCGGAATAGCTGAGTCGATTTAGTGACTGACTACGGTCTGGACGGCTGAGGGGTCGGAGTTTGAGTCCCGGTAGGGGAAAAATTTTTCTCCTCTCCTCACCGTCCAGACCGGATCACCCAGCCTCCTATCCAAAGGTTACCGGAGGTCCTTAACCCTGGAGCAAAGAGGCGGGACCGTGAAGCTAACCACTCATTTCCCACCAGTGCCGAGTGCAAGAATATGTGGATCTGTACTTTTACTCCCCAAATACATCTTATGGCGTGGAATTAAATTAGTTAAGCATAGGGACAATTTTACCTTTTTTTACTTCGCCATATTCAGCAAAAGAATGTAAATGTTTTATTCTGTGCTTCATAAAGAGTTACCCATTTTCTGGGACAATTTCCACAGGATTTAAAAATAATAAATAGATCACCGTATCGATTTTTAATAAGATTTTTTCTAAGCACTGCAGAGGTTCCTAAACGATATCGAATTAAGTCCCTCATGTGTTTTGTTCAGTTTATCTTTTATATACAAATTTATTGAACATGCTAGGCATATTTTATCCGGCAGCTAACCAATTAGGTAATGATTAACGTTATTATAAATTAACAAATAGACGACTGATGTATTTATAAACCTGTAGATCATCCTCGGCTTTATGTCATATTTTAATGCAAGTACTGCCTCTGACTCTACAATTAGGATTATATTTTTAGCCTACTTTCCTTATATCTTATGCGATCATCATGCTGTCTGTGTGTCTGTGTATCCCCCTTATCAACTTTTGAATAGATTAAGCAATCGTTTTGAAACTTGGTATGTATAATATGACACCTAAGTTCATTTTAAGGGGGTACTTCATAAAACGCTCCTATTACTTTTCACGCCTGTGTACAGTAGATTCCAATACCGTTGCTATGCAACAGCTCAGTAATAAACGTTCCCGTGGAAAAATTACAGAGAGAACAATAGAAGAATTGTTGGATGTGTCGTTTTCTATACTTTCTGTGTCTTACGAAAGGAAAGTAGTATATCAATTCTTACCAGAACTTCTTACTTACAGATTGGGTTTGTTCCTTGTAACTGAGCTCCTTGTATTGTTGCTCTTTATTCATTTATGTACCGGCACTGGCCGGCAACACCTACAGTGTCAAGTGACTTACCACATTTACTAAATACTCGTAATATGTTGAGTAGATTGTAAATATACAGGAAATTAAAAAAAAAAAAAAAAAATTCATTTATGCAGATATATGCAGAACTACAACGTATATTCTTTGATTAGTGTATGAACCCCAGATCCAATTTTATTGATATGTTAATATGATCAGTTTCCTAATTTCAACCAGTTTGTAACTTAATAATAAAATACAAATATTGTTCTCTTTGTATGCTTCCAGGTATCTTTTGCAGATGGAATGGCTGTAAATTCAGCCCTAGAATCAGCTGATACGTTTACAAGAACAAAACACCCTAATGGTTCAACAAATAAGCAGTGTGACACATCACGACAGGAGCTCATGCACCACAGGTAAACACATTTTCTGTGATTCAAACGCCATCATCAGGCGTATAGTCGCTTATACTGTCATAAACTAAGATAAACACATAGCAGTCCTTGAGTCTCTTCACAAAAACATTTCAATTCCATTTTTGTGAAATTTTAATTTTCATGTTTTTATCTTCAGTTTCTAATTTTGACTTTTATATCTTTAATTTTAAATATTATTATCTAAACATTTTAAATTTTAAATTTTTGGCCAAATAATATTCAATTTATAAATTTATGTATTTAAATAATTTCAAGATATAATAAGGATTCTTATTTGAAGAATTAGATAAAAATTATTTGCAATTTAGTAGCTGAGGATTGATCATTGCACGCCTGATGATGGCACGGTATAAAGGTCGAAACATGTTGCGTTTGTAAAAACAAATATGTACAAATGTTGATACAGTAGTGTCTTCTTTGTTTTTTAAATACAGAATATTTTTCTGTAGACTGCATACCTTATGTATATTTATATACCGTGTTAAAGTTCTTGTAACGGTGGTCTTGAAGAGTTAAATCTTCTGGGACATATAGTCCGCTGCAAGTCAATAGACGTTTCAGTGGAACATATCGCTTGCATCATCAAGGCTGAAGAGTAAGCCAGGCAAAAAAAAAACCAAGATGAAGCCCCCAGCAAACAGAAATCTACATGGTCTTATATTCCAGAAGGGAGAAATATTCATCTCTAAATTAAATTATGAGAATAAAAGGTCAGAGAGAGACATTGCCTCCCCTCAAAGCAATTTCTTTTTAAACATTGCTCATAGAGACCGTGAAATTGTAACATTTGTCTCTTCCGATATTCCATAAGACACTCATGAATTTGCGTGGTTGAGGAATTCCAGGCTAAGCAGAAAATGTAACAATAACATTTCTACTCTGTATCTTAATGTGTTCAATTGGCCTTGACTAATGCCAGTTTCCAAATGCATTCATCCATTGCTTCATTGTTTTCTTTGCCTTCATCTTGATTCAGTTCCGGTGTTTCACTAGATGCATTCATTCCACTACACTAAGTTTCCTTGTCGTTCATTTGCTTCGAAATTCAGCCTCCTGTGCGCTTGCTCTACTCGAAATTAATAAACCGGGGGTGAACAAAATGCTATCTCCCTTCACGGTCGAAACTGAACTTCAATATACAGTGGAAACGTGCATAAATAATTTTTACTAGTCAATTTCTTCATGAATGAGGACACTGTTAGACTTTATAATCAATTACTAGCCAAAATATTATTGTATTTTACGAAGCTCAAAAGATTACCATCATATTCGCAAGAGCCTATCACCAGACCCCCACCTAAGCCAGATTAATCCTCAAGATTACCGTCTTCTAGGATTGTAGGCCGTGTGGTTTAGTAGTTAATTACAAACACAGCAGAGGGATCTTCACTCCGGATTTCATGGTACATAAAATTGAGACAGTATTTCTCTCTGAAACACTGGTAACTGTCTTATTATTTTTTTATTTATTTCAGCTGCATCTGTGTTTTTACCCGGTGGCAGTGATACTACGATAAGACACAACACACGAATGACACAAATCATTCAAAATAACACACCATTGTCAAACAAAACACAGCACACAAAACTGTACGTACAATAAAGGACACAGTACACACAATGAATACAATGCAAGTACAATTACAGCTACAAGTACAATTACAAATACAAACTAATAAAATATAAGCACACTATACACTAAACAGTAACAGTAATGCAATACGTACTGTCATGAACTGATGCACTTCCCTTCATCCCGCTTCACAACACTTACGTACTTTCCACATCCTCGCCACAAGACCAGAAGCCCTTTACTGTCGGCTATGTGAACCTTGCATCATACTGTTTAAACCTCTCAACAAATTTTAAAACTAATTTTAACATTCAAAATAAAAAATAGGAGGGAAAACGGTAGAGTAGTTAGTCTAGGCCCTATGCTACAAGATAGAATGTTATGGGTTCGTTTCATGATAAGGCCATTGGATTTTTCAATTGACCTAAACCTTCCCGCCGCACTATTTCCTTGTGACCGACTCATTCTCTAATGAAAGTGAGTGCTGTGAATCTTCCTGGAGGTAAAAGGAGGCCGGCGCATATACAAAGTATAATTTTATATCTTTGGTGCATATTAAACCCGGTATTTAACGCTAGGAGAGGAACGTGGATTGAGGGTGTTTGAGGACAGCTGCTGAAAAGAGTATTTGGATCTGGGAAGAGGGAAGTAACCAGAGATTGGAGATAATGATGAAATTCATAATTCCACTCTTCAATAATTCTTATTAGAGTGGCAAACTGCATGAATATGATAAGATATTCTATTCAGAATATCTGAATGAAATAATCTACTTAGAAGGCCTATCTGTAGGTGGCATGTCAGCTATGTTTCTATCCCCCAAGTATGTAGATTATTCCTTTCAGGGTTTCCGACCAAATTTTTTAATATTCCTTCTTTGTTATGTCACACTGAAATATGTTAAAGAGCGCAAGTTATGTTCCTCCCAATTATGAAGTGATTTCCACCCTTCGGTTAATTCTCCCTCCTGAGATCGAAACATTTTTTTTAGTACCCTGGTGTTAAACACCGTGAGTCTATAGCTTTTACTAAGGGCGAAAGACCAGATTTGACGCAAATAAAAACAAGAATTCGAATTATACTCTCTTATCATTAGATTTACCTGGATGTGAAGGATTTCTGAACCGAAACAAGCGAAAGTAAAATTTAATTTTCTGTTCATTTCTCCGTGTATGTAATTTCTATTTGTTACTCTCTTGTCGAATTATTTAAAATATTTTAACATTTCCGCATATACGAAAGGAAATTATTTTAACATGATGAATTTTTTGTCTGCTATTCTTTAAAATATAACTATTAAACATTATTCGCCAGTCTTCATACCTAAGTAAGATTTAGGCTGATTTCACCTTATATCCACACAGATAGAGGAATTGGGTATCACAGACGTAGCTTTATCAAATTCCTTAAGCATTTCTGTCATTTTGTGTTACGAGAGAAGGGCCATGCCCCTCACAGTACGCGGTTGACTTCTGGTTAGTACTATTTCTGAAAATGGAATACAATGAAAGTACAAATACTTTCTTAGTCTTTTATCTTTGTACACGAACAGATTAACCATCCTAGTGTATCCATGATGACTTCTTCGGTTACTGCTAAATGCCCTGCCAGCTATGAGAGACATGGGTAGAATGACTGAGAAATGAATTGGAAACATGGGTACTTTACTTGGGGCTTCTGGAAAAATAGACAAAAACCTCATTAGTCAGTATCGGACCGAGAATATTTTCCGACATCTCTTGTCAGAGAAATACTAATTGATTTTCTATAACTGTAAATTTAACCAGTGTTTTGCATTAAAAATGTACTGCATACAAGTAAGTCAGATGAGTGCTTCTTGATGCTCAGAGATCGGTCTTTTTAGGTCTTATAAGGAGCTATTGATTTAGTAGAGATGAATATTCCTCAAAATTTTTGAAATGCTGAATTACAATATCAGGTTATTAATCTTCTGTTGTATGCAACCTTTAAAAGATCATCATTTTAAAAATTATGCAATCTTGTGAAATTGGCCTTAAATCGACGGAGGAAACACGCGAGAATGTTCATAGAGGATTCTGTTTCAATAAATTGAGTACAATTCTCCCATAACTCTACTTCCCTATATTACGCTCATACTTAAGCGACAGAACTTTTGTAGTTAAAGAAAACAATGAACAATCAAGAAGACTACCAGTCCTCTCAGGCGTACCACAAGGAAGCCTGCTTAGCCCCTTCCTCTACACGCTCTACAGCCACGATCTCCTCACATCCCATAAAACACTAATAGGGACATTTGCCTACGACACGGCTATCTTCGACATTCCATATTTTCTCCAGGGTCTCCGCTTACACTCTGCTTCGGTACAGCGACTTGGTCTTCAGAAATTCATCCTAAAAGTGGTTCACTCATAGCGGAATTTCTCAGATTCAGATATGATGGCCAAACGCGTCAATTAACGATTAAGTCTTGAAGACATAAAATTAAAATATTTTAATATATGCGAGACAGCAACAGAGGCTCTTAAGTCCCAGGATTTGTTAGCTATGTTTGTAAGACTTAAGTCGTCCATTATATGTATACAGTGGCCGTCTTGTAGTGCACTCAGTTTCACCTGTCACTTCACAACATGTTTCGACAACATAGTGCCATTATCAGGTGTCCCAAATTACGTCAGTCTATTGCATTGCTTGCCCTCATATGTTTTTCACAACACCATTTAAAAAGTATTTAAAAAGTCCGTATTTGTCAACTATGATAAATTTACACTCGCTAAAACTTGTTAAGATAATTCATCTTATTTGTCTTAATTAAAACTTGCATGTGGTTCGTTCACTACGGGGTCGTTTTTCTTATTTTCTGTGTAAACCGCGTCTTGTGATGTGTGTTCCCTTCTTAGCTGCGAGTGTTGTAAGTCCCTCATCCAGCTTGTTATAGAAGTTCCGTACATTAGGGATAATAAGAGTATGTGTATTTACGCATTTGCTGACGCACAAACATAGATAAATAATGGACTTGGAAACTACTAGAACAACTAGAAGCTTGAGATAAAATCCCGATATAATCACTGCATATCTCTAAAGAGACTTCCACTAGATAAGAGTATTAGGAAAAAAAGATAAGAAAAAAACACCAAAATAATGGAATTCCAGGCTCTTCTCGAAACAAACTAAAATTAATACATCGGAACTTTTAAATAACAATACATGCGTATATTACTATGATAAAACGCTAATGTTTTGCAAGACTGACTAAGCATCTTTAAAGCTACAGGCCGGAATATTTTAATGGAGTTACCAATGTAACTTTTGTTCAACATTTGGAACATCTCCACATATAAGCCATCTGTTAAAAGTATACTGAAAATATAAAACATAATAAAAATTCCGTATTTATATTGTAATTGAATTTAATGAATTATTAACA